TCCAGTTCTTAATTGGATTGCTGCAGTTTGCACACGTGCAGCTTCTAAACAGTCTTCAAGGATTGTGCCATGTAGAGTGCATTGAAGTAATTTAGCTTGGCGATTATCAGAGCATAGAATATTGAAAGCAGACTATCTCTGAACAGATGGAGGAGGTAGAAGGCACTCTGTGCCACTGAGGCCCCTTGGTTCTCCAGTGACACAGAATGGATCAAAGAGCACCCCTATATGAGGAATCCGTTCCTTTAAAGGAAGCGCAACCCTCTCTAGAACAGGTTGAACACACTCCATCTTGTCAGAAAAACTGCCCACTAACCGCAACTCAGTCTTGTCTGGATTGAGCTTCAGTTTGTTGGCCCTCATCCACTATACTGTAACAGCCAGGCACTGGTTTAGCACACCCACAGCCTTGCCAGATAAGACAAGGAGAAAGAAAGCAGTGTGGGTGTGACATCAGCATACTGATAGCATACCGATAACAACTCTCTCCAAAACTCTGGATGCCCCCACTGAGTGGTTTCATGTGGATGTTAAATAGCATGGGGGACAAGATTGACCCCTGATAGTTCAAGGGACTGAGTATCATGCACTAGGTTTCCCCTTCCACGCTTCATTCATCATGCAGGGAGACCAAAGCGGTTTCTGTGCCAAAATCAGGCTGGAACCCTGACTGAAGTGCATCCAGCCAATCATTCTTGTCTCTGGTGCTGGCTGGTGACCATCCACACAAGAACCTCGCCCACAAACAGGGTATTTGCTGCCTGTCTAAAAGTACTGAGATCTTCTTGGTTGAGAGAGGGTTTGTTCAGGAGTGACATCATCACCACCTTTAGGTGGCATGGTACCACTCCCTCTTGTAAAGAGACATTAATCACCTCCCCGACTAGCCAACTGTTCCCTTCCTGTTAACTTTTATTAGCCAAGATGGGCAAGGATCCCATACAGCTGTGGTTGCGCAAACCTGCTCATGAATTTTGTCAACATCTTCAAGCTGTACTAACAGCTCATTTAAAAAACTTGACCAGGCTGTGCTCTGGGTATCTTGCCTGATTTGACTGTGTTATCATTGGAGCTGGCAAATGCCATAAAAATGTCTAGCAAATATATCACAGTGGGCCTGAGATGGCTTTAAGATATTAATGGGTCCTGAGTGTAGCAGGCCTCAAAAAATGCTATTGGGTGGCAAAGAGAGGCCTGAATAGAGGCAGTGAGATTTTGTTTCTCTGGTGCTCTCACAGTTCCAGCATGTGGGCAGATACAAGGGTTGAACCTCATCCACTAGGAGTTTTCCTCCAACGGTTCTCAAGCTGTCTCCTATTTTATGTATGTATTTATTTAATTTCTAATGCACCCCATTAGCCACACGGCTCCCTAGGTAGGTTACAGCATCTTTGGTGCTGCTTTCTACCCTGTACAGCACTTTATGAGGAACAGCACTTGTGCCCCAGGAATACAGCTCTGACAATTTGGTCCAACATTTCGAAGAGCTCTCCTCTTCCCAGAAATTGCTGGGAATATTAGAGACTTGGCCTCTAAAACTAGAGAGATTGGTGGACATGCAGATTTCATATCTACAAGATATGCAGCCCTTTCCTTAACCTTTTGCAACAGTTCCTTCTAGGCCTCAATTGGAAAGGGCCTCATTACATCAGCTGACTGCAGCTTTTATTGCAACATTCTGAAATATAACCCAAAGGCTCTGCATTCTTTGGAAACAATCAGCTCTTTCAAAAATAGAAACATGTAACTCATTGATGTGATGCCAAAAATATCCAAACTTGGTTCCGGAAACAAGCACCGTTGCTTGCATTAAATTCTGTCCCCTCAAACTGGAAAAGAAATAACGCATAGGCTACTTTTCTACTTAAAAGATCAATTAAATTTATCCTTCTCTAGCTTATATATGTTCTACCAATGTTTAAAAATCCACTTATTCTCTTATCTTGAATTGTCCTTAAATCTAATAGTTAAATACTACTTAAATCATGGATTTAAATGGTGGGGAAGCAGAACCATTTCACCAGCCCTGCCGAAGAACAGCCCTCCCTCAAGGCTTCTCCTCACCATCAGCAGCCATTCCAGCAGGCTGGATCCTTCCCTGAGCCTTATGGAAAGACTTGACCACCCCACACCAGCCCTTCCTTCCCCAGTCCCTTCCTCCTTGTGTGACTTTTTTGACAGTAAGCCTGGGGTCAGGAATTGTCTTCTTACTGATTAGAGCCTCATTGGTTAAAAAATATTTTTAAGGAATAAAGTGATAAGCAACACTACATATTCAAACCACTTCTTAAAGAGTTACCTCATAAAGGTATTTTGGAATTCAAAGTTAATGTGCAATGATAATCCTGTAAAGCATCAGACAATACTGCCAACTCCCATGCCAACTGGGGGCACAGTTGTGGTCACTGAGCAGGTGGCTGTGGCTGGTTATAAGGTATGAAGACACGAAACACAATCCTGTATATGTCTAATCACATAGGATTGCAGTCTGCCCCGACTTGGTGCCCTCCAGATATTGGCTGGACCATTGGCTGGGGCTGATAGAAGTCGAAAACATCTGAAATGCACCAACTTGGTTGAGAAAGGCTCCTCCAGAGTAGGGTGGATATCATATAATTTAGTGAGGCAATGAGTGATGTGCACATCCACCCACATACCAGCAGGACCCATTACCAACACAATGGGAGATAGTGGTTTTCATAGCAACCAAAAATGAGTGGAAATGCTGGTTTAAGGAATGGGGCAAGTCAGTGGATATTGAAGAATGAAGCTCTTTTAACCTGTCCTTATCCAGAAACAAGATCTTCTGCTTGTTTTTATGGTTGCTTTTTGAACTGCTATTTTTCTTTTACAGATGTTTAGTGAGGACACACGAATATTATTGCATACTGCCACAGTTTATATTATATTTTTATTTCTTTTCTTAAGTAGTCCTGCAAATCCATCCAATTGCCATTAAAATGATGATAAAGGCTGCAAGTATGCTGTACTGATGACTTTTCCTTGTTGGTTGACATCCTATACATTTCTATTCAGAATTAAGACTAACTGAATTCAATGACTCTTATTCCTAGGTAAGGGGGTGTATGGAATTGTAACCTGAAATGGGCATATTCATAGTCTCAGAACCACTGTTTTCAATAAAATTTCTCACACATTTTTAATAAAACACAAAAAACACAAAGGTAACCATGGTGGTTGATGAAAAAGAAATCAAGCTGCTTGAAGTTTAAAACTGTGACATTATGTTTGCGCTATTTTGAACTGTTTCTACAGCACATTCTTTCATTCCAGGAAATGAGTCAAACCAAAGCATTGACGTATAGGGTTAAGACAAGGGCAACAGCTGGGTAGCATATTAATTCCAGAATAAAACACTTCTAACTCACTTCTAGTAATTTGTGGTGATCTTTTAGCTGAAGGTCCATGTTTGGATAGGTTTAACTGCATAGATATTCAGATATAATTCAAATATACAGCTGAAGAAACTGTTAGGAAAATCACTGCATCAATTGCCTGAACTAAACTCAAATTATTTCATTTAAGGGATTGAATGAAAGGGCTTAAACTGATTCTTGTACATGAAGGATTTCCTAAATGGGGACTGCTACAGTTTGCACAATTAAAATGCTGCTTTAATGAACAAAACAAAGTATACAGATTATTTGTTAGAACTAGAACCCCATCTTAAAAGTCTTCCTGCAAAAAGGAAAACTAGCACAACATGGAGTTGACCAGAATATTTATTTAACGTTTCTATACTACAGACATCCCAGGTTTTCCAAAATACATACAATAAAATAGGCAAACTATATAAACAGAATAAAACAAGATATACCCTGTTCAATACCTTACTAAATATCCAGTCTTTCCTCAAAGTGCTGATTTTAAAAAATCAGAATGCACTTATACAGAAGAGCGTACAGAAATGGTACTTGAGTTCTGAACTGTACCGGTGACCTGTATCATCTGAGCATTCCAGAATTTAATTTTGCTGTATTTGTTGTTTAGCAGGAACTGGGGCAAACCTGGGAAATAGCTGTCCGCCTAAAGCCTCACGTAACTGCTCCCTGTGTAAAACTTGCTGACTCTGTATAAGACTACTCATAATTTCCTTAAGAGTTCTTCAAAAGAGTTCCAGGATCTGGATTGTTTGAATTGGATTCCAGTTAGATTTCCCCCGCCCCCATCTATTTTTATTTCCCATGCTTTCTTGGCGGGAACAGGTAGACTATAGATTTTAATAATGAACAAAATCAATGTCTCACAGACCAACTCGTGTGTAAATCCTATTGAGCTCAATGAGACGGTCTCCCACGTCTCATGGTCTCATGACCACCGCTGCTCGTCTTAGTCAGGGTCCGATGCAGTGTCCAGGTGCCTAGAGCTTGCTGCTGTTCCTTGCTCAGCGTCGTCTCCAACTTACACTGGCACTATGCCCGCCAAAATGTCCTGACCCTGACAGCACTGTGCAGCTCTTGTGAACTCAAGGATGTGGCTGCCTTTATGGAATCGATCCAGCCCTTCTTCTTTCTTGGACTGTCTTCTCCAGCGGGACTTGCCTTCTCATGAGGTGCCCGCTTCGGTTTTGCCATTTTGCTCCCAGGGCATGTTGGGACTTGCCTCGATCCTTGGCTTGCCTCATGTCATGATTACTAACTACGTCACACCAAGATCCTTTCGTCACATAGGCGAACCCACCTCGGCCTCCCTCTTCCCTATCACATACGTGTAAGCTACACGCCTTTCCTCTTGCGCATGCCCCGCAACGTTTCCACAGCCCTTTCTTCCCTCGCCCTTTCCTACCCGGAATAAAGATGGCGTTGACTATAGCCTGGATAGGCAAATCCTCAGGGCAATGGCTAAAATGGCGGGTGAAGCCGTTGCCCACATTAAAGAAGGCTAATTGAGGAAGTTCCGCCTTCGCATGTCATGCATTTTCCGATGCGTAGGCGACTTCCGCTTGCCGCATGACGGAAGGTGGAACTTCCTGCCCCGGCCCGGGCGAAAGGGTAGTGTGTGTGTCGGAAAACTACCAAGTTGACTTGTGGCTGCCTGTGCGGGAGCCGGGACGGCTGCGCTCATTGCCGGGGAGGTTTGTGGGCGGGGTTTGCGTGCTGCGAAAGACGATAGAAACCGCCGCCGTAGCTGAGGCGAAGGAGGAGAAGAGGAGGAAGGCGAAGAAGAAGGAAAAAGGGAGAAAGAGAGAGGCCGTCGGCTGCCCGCCCGCCCAGAGCAAGTGGCCGCTGGCTCTGGAATGGAAGCGGAGAAGATGGATGAGAATGAATGGCGATACCACGGGGAAGGCAACAAAAGCCTTGTCGTCTCCCACAGACAGGTAAAGGGGATGCGGTGGGGGCCTCGCGCGCCGCTCGGGTGAAGGCAGCATCCAACGGGGCTTCGGGCAGCGGCCCCTTCGCCCCCCCCCCCCCCCCCCCCCGTTTGCAGGCCCGGAGTTACCGATAATTCCGCCAGGGCGGTTTGAGCGGGAGGAGGAAATCCCGTCAGTACTCCGTCGCAGCCCCCTTTTTATTTAAAAGTCAAGGCAACAAATGCTGAGGACAATATTTCCTTTGCCACCACCGGCCCTTGCCTCCGAGAGGACGGAGCAAAAGGACCGGGAGGGGAGTGGGCCCGCGGACCATCTTCCCTCTCTCCTTTACCTGGGCATGACGACACCTTGGTCCAAGAAGCCTGTTCTGCCGCACTTGCTGCTTCCAAATGATACAACCCCCCCCCCTTCGGAATCGTCTTAAAACTCAATGCTTTGTTTTTTGGTGTAAAGACGAAGTTTAAAATATAGAATAACAGACAAAGCGAAGAATAAGCCATAGAGAAAGCAGATTTCAGTTTTTGGGAAAATAGGTCTGAAAACATGGTGTAAATTCAATGAATATGTGCCAAAATGGGGGCTGCGGCAATGTTGCACTTGTAATTATAACTGTATCGCAAGTCCACCATCCTTAATGAAGTTAAGGATGGCAGCCTTAAAGTGTTGAGTTAAGGCAACCTTCCTTAATTTTGTATCCTCTCCGATGTTTTGGACTTAAACTGTTTTCTGCCCTGGCCAGCATGACCAATGGCCAGGGATGCTTGGAGCTGTAGATGGAAACATTTGTAGGGTATTGCGCCAGGGAAAGTTGGGTTAGGGTAACTGAAACTGGGTGACTATCCATATAAAAAGTGGGTGTGGGGAAAGGTGTGTTAAAAGCAAGTCATGTTGTAGCTGAGCCTGAGTCATGGTTTTAGAAAATTAATATTGGACATGTCTGGTGCAATAAGTTGGAAGGAAGAGTACAAGGTCTTAAAAAAGTATCCCTGCGCAATAAGAGGAAAATATGCAATATGGTATTCTGAATTATTCCAGAATTCAGATATGTTTGAGCTGAATTTCTTCTTTCTACATATCTGCAGGGAAGTAATTCTTTTATCAAATGATCTGCTGCCTAGGCAGGTATAAGGAAGAATGTTTCCTTATACTCTGAGTGTTTCATCATGTCGTTCTGCTTCATCTATTAGTGTCATTATCCACCTATGATAACTAAAGTATCATAAAGGCTAGAGAGTTGAAATGAGACCAATGAGAAGTGAATTTTAATCCCTGCTCTGTCACAGAGTTTATGTGACTTTACCTGTCGGTGTCTCTCAGCCTGTCTCAAGCCACCTTCAGTGCCATGTTCTTGATAGAAAGGAGGCATATAAATAAATAAAGCTCACAAGATCATTATAATGATAAAATAGAAGGGGAACATATATGCCACCCAGAGATTCTGGGAGGTAGGGAGGAATAAGAAATAAAAATACAGCATTTGACTTCATTTACCCATGATTCTAGGACAAGACTTAGCAGTTTGGATAGAAAGGTTTGGCGCTTAGACTGTATCTCATCAGAGATTCTCTGAAAAGAATTATTTTAATTTCAGATATTTACCATTTCATCCTTCAACATGAAATAGTTTATATGGATGTTTAGAGAATTTATTCCATTTCTGAAGAGAGAGGAAAACCTTGCTGCCTGTATTCACAAATGTTATACTGGAGGATTATAAAACAGAAAAGCCATACTGGATCAGACCAAAAGTCCATCTAGTCTAGCACTTTGCACACATGGTGGCAAGCCAGCTGCCCACAAGATCCCTCAAGCAGGATGGGTGCAAGACCTTCGCTTGCCCATGTTCCTGAGCAGTTGGTATATGCAGTCATGCCACCTCTGTTGAAGAAGATCACACTTAGCTGGTTGCCACTGATAACCTTTTCCCTCACGAACTTATCTAATATCTTTTACACAGCTGCCTAGATTGGCAGTCATCACCACTTCCCATGGCAGTGAATTCCATAGTTTTAACTGTACACTGTTTGAAGAAGTACTTCCTTTACTCTGCCCTAAACTTCCCTCCAGTTAGCTTCAGTGGATGTCACCATGTTTGAATGTTATGGCAGAGGAAGAAAAATGTCTCCCTCTCCACTTTTTTCCACACCATGCATAATCTTAAATAACTCTGTCATGTCTCCCCTTATTCACCTTTTTTCTAAGTTGGCCAGGGCTTGGAGCTGTAGACCAAGCCTCATTTGTTGTAGATGTTCCTCACAGGGGAGCTGCTCCAGCCCCTAATCACTTTTGCTGCCCTTCTCTGTACTTTTTTCAACTCAGTAATGCTCTTTTGCAGGTAAGGCGGCTAGAACTGAACACAGTATTCCAAGTGTGATCGCTCCAAGATTTGTATAAGGGAAGTAAGCTTTCGGCAGTTCTGTTTTCTATTCTGTTCCTAATTATGCTTCACATGGAGTTTGCATTTTTCACAGCAGCTGTGTATTCAGCTGACATTTTGATCAAGTTGTTCACTACCAACCCAAGATCCCTTTCTTGTTCAGTCACTGCTAGTTCAAATCTCATTAGTGTGTATTTGAAGTTGGGATTTTTTTGCCTCAACATGTATTACTCTACACTTGCTTATATTTAACTGCATTTGCCCATTCTTCCAACTTGGAAATATCTTTTGGAGCTCCTTACAATGCAGTTTGGTTTTAACTACCCTAAAAAGTGTAGTGTCTTCAGCAAACTTGGCCACTTCCCTACTTATTCCCAATTCCAGATAATTTATCAATAGGTTAAAAAGGGTTCTGCATTGGTCCTAATACAAAACCCTGTAAGATTCCACTGATTACGTATCTCCACTGGGAGAAAGTTGCCATTTATTCTCACCCTCTGTGTTCTGTTCTTTAATCAGTTAGTGATCCATAAGAAGACACTGCCCTTTTATTCTATGATTGCTTAGTTTGCTCAAGAGCCTTTGGTGAGGAACATCAGAAGCATGTTGGAAGTTCATAAAAACAATGCCCACAGGATCATCCCTGTCTCTGTTTATTTACACTCTCAAAAAACTCCAATAACTTAGTGAGACAAGACTTCCCCTTGCGGAAGCCATGCTGATTTTATTTTTCAGCAAGACTTGTCCTTCTGTGCGCTTACTGATTCCTTAATAACACTTTCAAGCAGTTTATCCAGAACAAAAATTAAGCTAACTGGCCTGTAATTTCCTGGATCCCACCTGGAATCCATTTAAAAAATTGGTGTTACATTGGCCATTCTCCAGTCCTTTGGTGCAAGGATTAATTTTAGGGACATGTTAAATATTTTGGTAAGAAGGTCAGCAATTTTGTGTTTGAGATTTTTTGGAAACACTAAGATGGATACCTTCTGGACTGGGTGACTTGCTGACTTTCAGTTTGTCAATAAGGTTGAGAAATTCATCTTTTATCACTATTATAAACTCAGGGACAGATATCTGCTCTTCATCCTATGCTGCAAAGACTGTCAAAAAATAATAATTCAGCTTCTCTGCAATCTCCTTGTCCCCTTAGTGCTCCTTTAATTCCATTATCATCCAATGGCCCAATTGTTTCCTTAGCTATTTCCTTTCTTTCGATATATTTAAAGAATTCTTTATTTTTATCTTTGATACTGTTAGTGATATGCTCCTCAAACTGTTTCTTTGCGCTCTGATTGTCTGCTTTCATCTCCCATGTGCAAGTTTGTGGTCCCATCTGTTCTTTTCATTTGGGCAAAACTTCCCATTTTTTCGAAGGGTGCTTTCTTCTTCCTAATAGCTTCCTTGACTTTATTTATTTATTAATTAAAACATTTTTATGCCGCCCCATTCGCCGAAGCCTCGGGGCGGCTTACAACAATAAAATTAAAATAACATTTTAAAATATATACATTAAAATACAAATATATAATATAAAACATACAATATAAAACAAGCCGCCCTGGCCAAATAAAATTCAATAATATTAACATTTAAAATACTGCTTAAATAAAAAGGTCTTCACCTGGCGCCGAAAAACAAATAACGACGGCGCCAGGCGGACCTCTCTGGGGAGCGCATTCCATAACTTAGGCACCACCGCTGAGAAAGCCCTCCTCCAAGCAACCACCCTCCTAACTTCTTCCATGGAGGGCTCCCGGAGAAGGGCCTCTTCCGCTGATCTCAGGGGGACCATGCTAGTGATTTCCTGGACTTTGTGCTACTTTTCTCACTCATAGTATGTATATTATCTGTTGCTTCTATTAGAGTGTTTTTGAGTAATCTCCAGGAACTTTGAAGCGATTGAAACTTCTTGAGTCACCTTTTTTTAAAAAATCCGTATCTTCATTTCTGAGAAGTTTCCTCTTTTGAAGTTCTGACCTCTTTGGCAATCTTCCATCTACCTGATACTAGCATGGCCACTGTTACCTAATGGCTCAACATCATTTACATTGTGTGCTATGTCCTGGGCAACCTCACTTAGCACTATATCCAAGATTTATTTATTTATTTATTTAAAACTTTTATATGCTGTCTCTTATGCATGGCATCTCACTACAGCTTACAGTCATTAAAATCAAAATACAATAAAACAATATAATATAATATAATATAATATAAATAACATAGAACCAATAAAATATATTAAATAAAAAGCGACTGTTAAAACATTAAAATACTAATTTTTAAAATAACGATTGAATAAAATGGTTTTGACCTGGCACCGAAAAGAGTATAAGCTTGGTGCCAGGTGAACCTCTCCAAGGAGCGCATTCCATAATCTGGGCGCTGCTGCAGAGAAGGCCCTACTCCGAGTAGATGTCCTTTTTACCTCCTTTAGGGAGGGTTCCTGGAGCAGGACCTCTCTTGCAGATCTTAAGGGGTGTGGAAGGAGATGTTCCTTCTAGTATCCCAGTCCCAAGCCGTTCAGGGCTTCATAAGTCAAAATCAGCACCTTGAATAGGGCCCGGACTTCAACTGGAAGCCAGTGGAGCTGGTAGAGGACCGGCGTTATATGAGAATAACAACC